GGTATTAATTACATCTAGGTGGGTAGCGATTTTCATAGTCCATGTATTTTCAATTTTAATACTTGAATAGAGTTTCGAACAAAATGTTGTACAGAAAGGTTTACGCTAATAATAATGGGTTCTATTATTGGTTACATTTTTTGCATTCAATTTCCATAACACCCTATATATATGCACAGATAACGATATAATATCAAATAAAGTCTCAGTTAAGTCATACACCGAAGTAGAAATGTATAAATACCCGGATGTGGCTTTCCGTGTGCGCTCTGTATTAATAATAACGGTAATGCGTGAATATAAATATTTTATACGAAAGTTTATTACTTATACAATCCAAATATTTTATTGTTTGACACACAATCGGGCATAATTGATTTTCCTGTGTATTATGTACATTTGACTGGAAATCTACTTCATATACCTAATTCATTTTTAGTTAACGACCTAGATATTTTAAACACGAAACAAGTGTGTCTCGCTTTTTTAATTATAGTCAATTTGTTATTGAAGTGAATACTTCAGAATTAATAGCTAATATTCTAAACACAATATAATAAAAATGAAAATTGTGAAGTGGTTCATAGTTGTCCATCACCATTATAGTCCATTAGTAGCTAAAAGGCGTACCATATCGTTAGTTGTCTATAATTAATGCAGCCGGTTATTTTTAATTTTAAAACCTCTGAATTGCTTTTTATTATCAGACAGTTTTTAATAGTTCAATTATTAATTTTGCTCGTGTCCGCAACATGACCCAGCAATCACTAGCATTAATTTAAAAAGCTTCAAAAGCTGTAACTTATTTGTTACGAAGCAGGTAGATAATTGTTATTTTTTAACGTTCGTTAAAAAAGCGTAACATTTTTTATTAATTTTTGTTTATAAAGGATATGTTTATTTCATCGCACTAGAAGCGTGAAAAAAAGTGTGATAGCGTTTCATTTTTTCACGCATTTGAGTGAAAAAAAGTGCCGTAGCGTGTGATTTTTTAACGGAATAAAACATAGAAGCTTACCGTTGCTATGATAATAATTAATAATTCATAAACACAAGCGATTTGTATTAATTTTCTCGGTGTGTTGTGATAATTTGTGTGCTCGGACAATGGAATCGGACAGCGATGAACACTTCTCGTGCACCCCTGAAAAAATTGTCAAGACGGCAAATACGGCTACATTTATGTTCCAAAATAAAAAGTTTTTGAAGTTGGTGATGAGTTTTGTTACGAACACGAAAAAAATTTTGTATGCGACTCGTGAGTAAAGTGGCTTTTTTTTACTCGGCGGATTTGCGCACTCGCCTTCGGCTCGTGGGGAAAATTTTCCTTCTCGTAAAAAAAAAGATACACTTTACTCACTAATTGCATAAATAACTATTTATTTAAATACTAAAAAAACGGTATTGCAACTCATAGGTGGGACATACCTATTAACTGTTTGTCATCACTACTATTATGTTCACGTGCTTGTGGTAACTATTAGGTATACCTAAACTAAACTTCCATGATGTATGTGTACTTCCAGTTAGTCGAAGCAAAAATTTGTTTCGCTAGTTTTAGTATAGTTTGCATGCCGCAGTGAAGTGGACGTACTTAACTACTGACAATTGTAGAGAATTGCTATGCTTCGCTATACTTACACGTGCGTGGGCAACAGACACCGGTTCCTATTTTCACGTGTTATCCGATCGAACGTGAAAATATTCTTGCGGAGAAAACTTTTTTTTGTAACTTAGTAATTTATCTGTCTATATGTTTTTAAATTATTTGATATAAGGATGTGCTGCGTTAAAATATAAAAAAACTTCCTTCCATCTATGCATAAAGTATTATTATTTTTCCATTTCTACTTCCTAAGCATACTAAGGAATATTATAATCGAGTCCATTGGGCGACTGGCTACTTTCATATTTTCTCAATATATCCTCCTAGAATACGAAAAAATAGGTCTTCCGCATCCGTTTGTCTGTTTGACTGTCTGTCTGTTCGTAATCTGTGTCGATTTTTGTTAGACAGATAATCACCGAAACTACCGGACCGATTGTCGTCAAATTTTAATGTGTATTATGATATCATGTACATGGTAAAACGGTAATCAAAGCTTGTCTTATCTCTTATCCTCCTCACCAACAATGTGGCAATGTAATGACGTCACTTCAAAACTGGATGTAATAAATGGGTTTTAAATTGTATAAAGTAACATAGTCATACACGTAGTTTATAAATCCGAAACAACCAGATTTAAAAAAAAGAAAAACCAAAATTGTATAACTGCATATTCCAGTTGCATTTTGAATCTGCAAACCCGAATGTTTTGAAATCTTGCGGACGTTTTAATGGTATCGTAAGCATGGTAAATTTTTAATCAAAATATACTTGATTGATGACGTCATCTCAAAATTTTGTCGAATCAATTTGTCTAAAATGTACAAAATATATTTCATCAAGCTTCCTGGATTTGTTTCCTATAATTTCAAAAAGTCAATTTGGCATTAATGGAAAGCGACGTACGTATTCTTTGACTGTAATGGCGCTACGTCGCAGGTCACACTCACCAAAAGTCAACCAAATAATCATTGCAAATGTTATGTACATTGTCTGTAACAACATTTATAGTTTTAACAGTAAACCTGAGAAAACAAGTAAAAAGGGCCGTGTGATTGTTTTAAATGTAATAGATTATATCTCAATGCGTATAGTAAGTATGCAATTTTGGTCAAAGAATTTTCGTTTCATATTTTCATGAGGAATTTATTGTAAAAATTTGGTTGCTAGTTCTGCGACAGGACAGGAATTTTCACAGCGATAACCTTTGTATCCTAGATTCTCAGTGACTGTTATAAACTGTTTTTGGTGTTTGTATTTATACCTATTATACCATAGCTGCAGTAATGACTAATGAGTAAATACGTCGTTTTAACCATAAAATATATATATTTTGTAATTAACCCGAACGTTATTATACTTATAATGTTATAATATTTATTGAATACAAATCCATTAAAAAACTTGTAGCAACAACAGCATCTAATTATTTATATTGTTTAATACATGATATCCTAAAAAAAATCATGATTGTGTAGTGAGTTTTTTGTTTGGTTTTGAACAGTGCTTATAAAGTCCTATTTACTGCACTGTTATCGAAAATTATATAGTGAATTGCAATTAATTTAGAAGTTAGTGTTCGTTCACTAAACAGATAAAAGATGCACCATCAGATTCAAAAAGTTGGTAAGTTTTTTGATGTGTTTAATACTTAAAATAGTTATTTTTATACAGGGTGATTCAGCTTATTATTATTTGGATTATGTTTTTGTAAAGTCGTATATATTATCTTTAGGACAGGTAGTGAAGATTGACGGATCTAAGATCCGGTTTTCGATGGACGATAATTTCGGTTAGAGACTTGTACTTAATTATCCCACCATCTTTTTTACTTATTATGACTTTTTAGAAATGCTATGCTACTTATTAGCCCGTTTATTTAAGCAGCCATTAGTAATAGAACAGGTTACAGTCGGTAAGTATTTCACAATAAATGAACTGAAGCTGGAGAATCGAAACTCATCTCTGAATGAAAGGTAGAGATTGATTAAGTCGTCGAATCTGACAGTCAGGTACATTAAACCTCTCTGATTTTATCAACAAAAAAATTCCCCGACATACAAAGCGGTCCATTAAACTTAAATAATTAAAATATCGTTTATATTAAATATTATGCTTCTCCGTAAATAGGTACGTATTCCTAAATTTATAAATGTAAATTTAGGTATGAGTTACTATTATTAAACAATCTGTAAATTGGTTGTTTTTCTGTTGTATACTAAAAATACCGCATGTGTGTTAGAGTGCATTGCGAAAAGATTTCTTTTTTAACTTTTTGATATTAGTTAATATTTTTGCCGCTAAAATTAAATAAACTGACTTTAAAATTTAAAGTGTAACATTATTCACACTGTATTTCTTGTATTTTAGAGAATTTAGAGGGGCTATTAAAATAAACTTAATTAGCATATTAATTGCACATAAACCGTAGTGGGATATATAAGACACCAGTAATGACTTGATAGATTTGTTACTTATTAAAAACCACTGTCAGTGGCCGGAAACAGTGATTTCCCTTACAAGAGCCCCGCCGTACGCTGGTTTATGCTGACATCTCATACAAAAACGTTGTATTAATACAACTCTTCTCTACGGAAATACTCCCTTCATCGATATAACATTAGTGAGATATATATTTAAGATGGTGGCCAGTGGTGGCAGGCGTAATTCAGGCGCTCTTAATACCCGGGAAGTAGATGTTTCCTCCTACTGGGTTGGTTTAGTGAAGACATGCGTAATATTTGAGACAAAAATGCAACCTAACGTTATTAACGGCCCCTTATACATCTTAATAATGTTAATTTGTTGCCTTTAAACTTATAACTTAAAAGGTAATAAATACTGCCAAATCTTAGATAACCTTGAAATTTGCTTACTGTTGAGACCACAAGAGGTCAATACTGTAGTCTTTTATTGAGTTCCCTAGCCTTTCCATTTAGCAGTGCAATCAAATTCAAATTGATGCCAATAACTTGTAGTTTTCTTTTTGTAGATTTTTGTGTACCCCTGAAAAGGAAGCGGTATTCTCTTGTTTAATTTAGTTTTAATTCAAGTACTATTAATTATGGCAACCACACGATCGGTGTGGCTCGCTCTGTATAAAAATAGTTTAAAAAATCCACCCCCACATTCAAGTTAATGCAAAGAAAAACGTCCTATTTTTTTAGACCGTTAAACAATTGCTTTCTAATAGATTTTCAGTCAGTAAAGCTTATAATCAATATTGACTATAAATATTTGCACTTCATGGCGTAGATGGCTAATTTTATAAATATGTACCTATGTACTACACTTGTGTGTACTGAAAGGCGTTATATGAAAGCGATTATATTCTCTCTTTAGATCAAAATTATTTAAGCTAATATTAGTATAAAGATATAATCCTAATATTTACCATGTGTTCAGTTATTGCTGAGTAGTAAGTCCTCGGATCGGAAAGAACAGGCTTTTCTCGTGGCGACCATGGACTAGGTATCACACAACTTATTAAGTTCCGATGCATTTTAAACTTTGTTGGTACAAAATCGGAAATAGGTACTAAATTGGGCAATTTCCTTTGGTTTCCTTTGCTGTAAGTGTTAGAACTATTACACATTTTTTCTTCTTTTTTCTCAAATAACTTGTGTTCTTCCGAGGCCCAGTTTTTTAAGAATTCTATGTCCAGAGGGAGTTTTAAAAGAGTAGCAACGCTGATAAACTCGCTGATGGTGTTTGAATAAATTACGACACTTCCTGTGTAAATATAATCCAGGATTAGGGACATAGTGCTGCTATTAATGTCGGGAAAAATGAGAACCGTGGGTTCAGTTGAATCTTGCAGAAGTAATTCCTAGAAAAGAAAAATGTATAATAGTTGAGAGTGAACATTTTTTTGGGTGGCAATATTATAAGCAACTATCTTTTTAATTATCTATAATTTATATGTATAAGTAACAAACGTGATTTACTTATATTCATAACACGTAGGAATAGTGAACATTTGGGAACGAAAAGTCAAACTCCGGTAAATTTGGTTCAACAATTAACAATTAAAACACAGAAAGACGAAAGTTATCCGATTTTTGGAATAATGTAAACAAGGAATACTTTAAAATACAATTAAAACAATACAGTACATGCAAGATAACTTAATTTTACAGCCTAGATGAAATATTAAAAAACTATAAATTTCCTGAATTAGAAAACTGAATGTTACATCTATTTCTTCACAACTCTTCATACCTTTTGTTTAATTAGCATTGCTTACGCAAGTAGCTAAATACATTTCTTGTTATTATTAAGTAGTTTCTGTTTAACGAATTTTATTACTGAAATTTTTAGTACTTATGTGTAATTATTGACACTTCTAGTTCAAATATGATTATGTATGACAGAAGAATTCAGCGTAATATCTCTAAATTCATTAAATCGTTACTTACAGCTAACATATACATCAAAATTAGTACAGTAGAAATAAGGTCCTTAGTAGAAAATTGCTAAACAAAATAAAGTATGAAAGTACAAATAATTTATTTTCTGTATGTGACTACTAAATTATAACTAAATTAAAATCTCTACTACTACAGACCGAACACACTAGTACCATTTTTTAAGACATTTTTAAAAGATTAAAATAAATATCAAATTCATTCGATCTTCTGTTATAATTATGTGATAGTGATCGGTGACTTTGCTAGTGTGTTAGTTTTGTTTGAATCGTAATAAAAAGAGTACTTCAGCCATGAGTTCATTCTTGAAACAAGCATTTTTAATTTAGATGATAACCTACAACAGTGTTATCTATTTAATAAACCCAGAAGAAAAGTAATAATAATTGATATCCTACGAGTATAGATAAAGAACTAAAGTTGAATTTAGAAAACAAAATTGAGTTATCTGTACGAAGTAAAATTGTATATAGTGTAAATATGTATATATTTTTTTAATTTGCGTAATTTTGAAATAAAATGTGCATTATGTTTCAACAGATTCGTTAAGTCATACATAATTACTATGTTAGTCCGATTTGAGTATGTACAGGTACCTATATTTATTCAAAATCAAAGAATTGCAGTAATTTGCTATGCGAAATTCGGCACAGATAAATTTCTGAAAAATCTTATCCTCAAATCTACTTACAAACCCTCTCACTGAATATAATCCACAAGCGAAAAGATGCAGGTAAAAGCATAAAGTATAAAGAGTAAAAAACAATTTATTTATCCAACACATAAATATAAAAGCGATATAACTATGGTGATTTCTAATAATTAAAGTGGTGTATAAGTCACTAATGGGTTATAAATTTTAACTCACTAGTGAGTTATAAGTCTAACTCACTATTATGTTAAACCATAGAATAATCTTTTTTACGTTATTACTAAAATGTCTTAACCAACCTTTCTTGAGGGCTTAAAGGTACCATAGCGCCAAGTATTTGAATCAGGTTTGGCAATAGCAGCGCCAGCGCAAGAAAACTCTCAGAATTGGTTGTGTCTATTGCCAACTCAAACAGCACTTGTTGATCACGCTGTTGTTCATTATTTTAATAAACACCATTTAACTAAAGAACACATCTTTCTGTAAACTTTCACAACATAAGATCGAATTAATTAATTTAAAATCATTTGCAAATAGTAGCCTCTCATTATTAATTAAATTAGGTAGGTCATTAATGCAAGTTTGGTGAAGGGTGCCGTACTAAATTTCAGACAATATCTTCAACAATGTTATGCTGATGGTGCTATAAAATTTAAACCCGATGAATTTCCTGAGAAGGTGAATATCATGCAGTCTCTTCTTGTATTAATATGAAATAAACACCAATTTCTCTTCCTTTCTTTAATAACAGAATTTTTTTCCTGCTTCTTAAGAAACGGTTTTAGTTTCACTAAAGCAAAAATTGACAAAAATAGTAAACATCATTTTACATTCAATTTACAAAAGGACGTGACGAGGAGATATGGTTTATTTGTATCTTTTAGTTTATATTACAGGCCAGTCAATATTGGGCAATGTAACGTATTTTATATAAGAGATTTCACGCTTGTTCTGACAGTTCATCGTAAACAACTGGTTACGCGTTAATTGATCGCAAACAACTTATTAATCGCAGCGTTAGTTGATTGCAACGCCAACTTATCGCAGATGAAAAATGATAGTGTTTACGAAGAACATGTAAAATAACCGTAAACAATGTTTGTAAGCATTAAATTAGTTCTGATCTGTTACCAAAATATCAAATGAGTTTGTTGTGTAGCTGAATTAGAAAATGTTGTTGTTTTTGCGGTACGTTTTACAAATTGTATTTTTTACAATAATCTGATACGTAATAAAGGTGCATATAACAATATAAAATTCAGCCGGAAGTTACTTCCCAAAATTTTTTATGGCGTCATCCAATTACCAAATTTTTGGTGAGGATGAACTTTCAAATTACAGTTAGCGTTAGACCATCTACACAAAAAACCTTAAAGTATAACTAAAATTTTACAATAATCATAAAAAATAAAGAAACAGAAATAAAACATTATGATGAGTTTAAATTTTCCTAAAAGTTCTATTAGAGAAACTGAGCAAAAATTTGCATTTTTAAGTCTTTTTGGTACAGCACTGCTATTGCAAAGTTGTAAGTTTCAGTTGTTTCCTTTTCGTTAAGTTTTACCTCTAGATAAATACATAGCTCAAAATTCGAAACACAGATTTAAATCTAGTGCTCGTTTTTGCGTCACAATTTCGAGAAAAAATAGTACTAAATAAATATTAATATCTCTAGAGTTTTTGGTCGCGATTGTATACCTACAATAATGATTAACACAGTAACCATATTTTACTTTTGATTATATTTTGATTATAAAAGCACAAAGCATACAACCGTAGAAAATAGCCTGTTAGTGATGCCTAATTTGATGCTTCAGTCGCGACTAGAGAGATTCCAATGAGGTAATGGCAGTTTGTTAAGAACCCAAGACAGAATAAGAATCTAATATGCGTGAATCCAACAATGATGTTGCAAAAAAAGAGATTTAATTGGTGTCCTAGTGTTATTTTATAAATTTAAATTCTCTAGGTGCTTAAATACATAAATGCTGCGTCAGATAACTCTACAACCAAAAGGTACCTCTTGTTAAATCAAATCATCATTAATCTTATCACATTTCAACCAAACTATTGTTGGGTTCTTGTCAAATACACGACTGGCGGCAGCATATGTTGATTAATGTTTTATTTGCGATTGTTGTAAGATGTCATCGACTGTGCTGTATTCGTTTAGCTTCTGCACTTTAAATTATTTTGCGGTCGTTTTAAAAAATGTGGAATTCGTTTTTTTTATGAGATGACGTTTCAATAATTCGTAATTGAATTATATACGGTAATTAATTACTTAATTACACAAATTCCCCGAGGTTAACAATGCTCTAATCTAAGCCTTCAGCAGTTACGAATACAGAAATTTACGTTCAAACCATTATTATTTGTTGTAAGTTGTAAAATATACTCATAAATTAGTTAATTAATTAATTTTTTAATATGGTTAAAACTTTTGGAAAGTTTAAACACGGCATGTTTTTCACAAAACTTTAAAAAGTTTATATTGATGAGGTGATATTTTCATTAGTAGTTTCACATGTTTCAGTAGCATTTCTTGGTTAACTCCATTTTAACTTTATTAGAAAAAAAAAACTTGTTAAGGGTTTAAAATATTTGTTTGTAGAATACGTGTTTCGGTAAACATATATTCTTCTGCCTAGAGACGGTACACGTGTGTGCAGGGTCGTACAAATAAATATTTTTAAAATTTTTGCTTGGCTTTTTTAGACCATTAGTAAGTATTGAGAGTAGTATAGCAGTATACTGATCGAGGTACTGCTATCACAACAGATATAATTTTACACACTAAATACAAGACAAAATTATTGTTACTTTTAGCAGTTCCTTTAAAGGAAGGCTCTTTGTTTTCGTTTACTCATAGTTTTTGTCCTTTTAGGTTTCGAAAACGATAAAATATAGAACCATAACGAGCGTTCAAATAAAAACGACGTCAAGTTAGCTTTGGAAGTGTGAACGTGTGGCGTAGTTTTATTACATTATTTTAACTGACAATAACTTATTTCATTAGTATCATTGCAATTAACACACAATGGTTTTTACTTCCGAATAGAGGATTTTCATGATAGAATTTTATTTTCTCAAAAAACTGAAGGTCAATGGCAGTACCTTTTAGCCGATTGCTAGGACGAATTTCAAAATGAGTTTCCCGGCGTTCTTGATCACAACACCGTTACATGTTCGCCAGATCGTTCTTTGAAACTGTTTCGAAAAACCGGCAGCTTGACGCGAAAAGAAGGAAGTGGTCGGACAAAAAAAGCGTAGTACATGAGTTAGTTCAAAATGCGCAACAAATAATGAATAATTCTCCCAGAACTTACGTGTTCTGGCTCAGCAGACAGGAGTGTCGATTGGAATAAGCCACACTATCCTAAAAAAGATTTATATTTATTTCCTTATTGCATAACTGCCGTCCAAAAACTTCTTGAACTTGATTATCCACGTCGAGTGGAGTTTTGTGAGTGGTTGTTGACTAATTTTGATGATGATGTTCAATAAAACCTTCTTCAGCGATGAGGCTTGGTTTTACTTCAGCGGGTACTTTATTAGGCAGAATATGCGAATGTGGTGTGCTTAAGAACCACAAGATTTTTATGTTGAAGTCCCTCTCCATCCCCAGAAAGTGGGTGTGTGGTGTGCTGTTAGTAGGAGGAGAATTATTGGTTCGATTTTTTTTCATGGGACGTTCACTGGGATTTTGGATATTTTCAGCTGGGTGGAGCTAGAGTCCATATAGCGGCTGAAACAATGAATGTGGTACAACCCATATTTCAAGATCGTCTAATTAGCCTTGGGGCTGAGCACGAATTCCCTCCAAGATCCGGTGATATCATTGCGACTTCTTTCTATGGCCTTTCATCAAAAATTCAATTTTTCATGTTCCAATAAATGATGTCGATCACCTTCAAGCACGAATTATAGAGAAAGTCAACGAAATCAATAACAATCCCGTTATGTTACAAACTGTTTTCAATTCTGTTAACGGAAGGTGTCGAAATTGTCACAAGCAAACCGGTGGTTATTTGTTATTTCCAACATCTTCTATAGAAAAATAAATGTTCCATTCGCACTAAAACTGCACTGTGTAATAGCATTGTTTTAATGACTTTTAACATAACCTAATATTTACTAAGCCCTACGTTCAGATATCCAAAGCTAGCTTGACGTCATTTTTATTTGAACGCTCGTTATTTCATGATCAAAACGGAAATTGATTTAGAAATCAGTAGTAATCACACAAAAATAGCAAAAATTTATTTTATATGGTTTGTCTCTATTTCTTCCGGTATATAAACCAATGTATTTTCAGATTTCTGTCAATTTATTCAGCATTTTTTGCAGTAATTTTTTTTGCTACATTGCTTACTGAAACAGTTAATTAGTATTGTTTATAAAATATCGGAGAATTTAAGTGAGAGTTAGTGCAAAACAATATAATATACCTTGGTGTATCTACTTTTACACAGTATCCCAATATTGCACTGTTCACTTATAGTTGTAACTTTTTTGAAATTCCATACAATCAACGTTTTTCAAAATTTTTTGAGCAGTTTTCAACAGTATTTACAGCGACAATTAAATATCCATTTGTGAAGAAAAGAAACTATTTCGAATACATTTTCTTTATAATAAAATGGGATGAAGTTAGAGTGATTCCTTTTGTAAGTAGTTTAGTGTAATGTTGAAAACCAGAGACTTATCATTTAATTGGTGCAAATATGGGTATGAGAAATCGTAGATTTTTTTCTTACCTAAACCTACGTTAAAATAAATTTGCAAATATGAAATATTAACAATGATTTTGAAGAAAAAGTAGACATTTTAAAAAATTGTGGGTACGAATTCGCTCTTTGGAAATGATTAAAAACGACATCTAAAAGTGGTTGTATATTATGTGTCTAACCCTGAAACCATATAATTTAAATGATTTTATTTAGGGAAAAGGGAAAACATTTTTTCTTGACAAGAAAAGATTTGTGGAGATTCTGATGGTAATATTTGAATAATTTGAAACTGGAATAATTAAAAATAACAATAGTCAGTAGAAGCAAATATAATAACAAAAATTTGAAGAATTGAAACGTTATATATCTATGATGGTGTTAACTGGTTGCATATACGCGGTATGCTTGGAATGGAATTATCAATATGCTAGTGTGGAACGTGTTTGCTGGTTGATGGTGTTGATCGTCCATTCGTCACAGAGCATATCCCAAACACTAGATTTAGATCACGCAACATTACAGGAAGGGCTAACTGATATTATTTCCTCTTTAATTGTATCGTGAAGAATGCGACCACGATGTGGCTTAGCGTTGTCATCAAGAAAAATCAAAGTGTCTCGCCAATAGTATCAGCTAGATTTAAAATGTCATTCAGAGTAATGTCTTGAACACGGTGGTCTTGAACATATCTTTCATTTGTTAGGTTTCCGTGAACAACATGGTAGTCGCTGCCACACCTAAAAGAAGTTCCTCCCCAAACCATAATACCACTAACGCCGGAAGGGGTGACTGGCTAGGTAAATTGTGGTAATGTGTGATGTCCTGCATTGCGATATACCCCCTGACGACGACTATCGTCATTTAGACAAAATCTCGACTGATCTGAAAACAGTAGGTATGTCGTTCCAAACCATATTCTCCTGTAGCTTTAATCTCGACCACTGTACCCTTTATTCCGTTTTTATTCGTGTTAAAATTTGATTTTTATATATTAAAATTTCATTGTAAATCGAATTATTTCTTGAATTTTCATAATTTTAAAATTGCTTTTTTTGGTTTTTATCATATTTCAAAAACTATTCAAAATTTTGTCTTAGTTTTTTAAGGATAATGTAACCAAACACTACTGATTCTAACAATGTAACTTTTACTGTTCTAGTATTTTTAAATTTCTAAAAAAAAAATCTTTCTTTGTTACTTCCACAAAAGGTGTATTGAAATTTTCAACATATTTTTATTATTGAAGATTTTAAAGTCAACCAGCGGCAAAGTTGTAGATTATGGTCTAAAATAATTTTGTTTTATCGTTAAAATATGAATTTTATTTATTACAATTTCGCAGTATGTCGATTTTATCTTCAATATTCATATTTTTAAAATTTTATTTTTCTGTATATTTATCACAACATATTTTAAAATGTATTTAAAATTCTGCCATAGTTTTTTTAACGGTAGTACTCATAAACAAACTGATTCTAACAATGATGCACTTGCCGATTTAAAAATTTTGGACGTAATTCTTTTTCTCTGATCTATTACATTTTTACGGATATAATCGAAAATAAGTTTAAAATAAAAAATTACTATGTCTAAATTGATATAAATTAAAAATTGTACCGTGGTTGTGCTCACTTGCCAATTGCTCTACAACAAAGCTTATGAAGTGCTGCAGTGCCTATGCCTACAGCATGCAGTGCAGAGTTTGGTCTGTAAATAACTAATTTTGCAGTATGTACTGTTTTTGTGCACAGCATTGTTTCAGTCGGTTTGTAACGGACACAAAATTACAAATAGCATATAAATTGCCATAAAGATTGTACAACCAATAAATACTTCACTTTACGAGTTGTACGAAAATTGTAACTGGTTCCGTTACGTGGTTGCGATAAAAAAATATTTTGTTGTTTCTCGTTTGTCTTATTTAAAAGTTAAATTTAAACCCTATTGACATAAAAAAACAAAATGCATTTGTGTGAAAAAAAAAATCTTGTTAGAAGAAGTATCACTGGTGATTCATTTTAATTATGCCCCCTTTCTTAATACAGGGTTTCAATAAATGTTTATAGGGTCGAAGTAAGTCATGGAAGCGTGCCGCCTATCACTTTATATGGACTTTACTAAATGTCCAAGGACTCACGATAAATACCACACGCATCTGTATAACTGGTTGCTTAAATGCTTCATATCTTCAATGAAACTAATTTATTACATTAAAAAGAAACGAATGTATTGTCGTTGAACGTCACATTAAATGTTGAAAATGTTCACCATTTTGTTCAAGGCACATGTTCACTGTCTTTTTAATTTCAAATATGTTCTTTAACATCCTTTCGTCAACACTTTGGATCCAATGTTCAATTTCATGTTGGAACAGAAAATCTTGACTGGCGAGACAATCTTGTCAAAGATGTTTGAGGATTCTGCTCTACTCGTCTCAAATGTTCAACTTCCTCAGATACTGAAAATCTTCTAGGAGATTTCCCTTCCCTAACGATGTTTCTCGAATTTGCAAATCAGGGTATTTAGCTAGATATTCTTGCTTACAAGGGGTTACAGTATACACGTACTCTCCGTTGTCCTATTGGGATAATAAAAAACATAACAAAAAAAGTGTCCTGTTCAACAGAATAGCCATTTTCACGATCTTCGTTTCCTTGCACAAAGACAAAATTTTCGTACGCAAGCACCAATAGTGTTGAAAATGTTTTCTGTTGTTTTGAGCTTGGACCAACGAGAATTACTGTAATTCACACTTGAAAAACGTTAGAACAATAAAAATGATGACTTTAAATGACAGGTTACAAATGACATTAATGACCAGTGAGAACTGCCACAATGCATAATTTCAGCGACAGGATATTTGAAATCTATGGCTAACTACGCTCTGAGAATCGTTTATAAAAACCCTGTATACCTACGAGCCTCTATAGGTTATAACCACAATTACTAAATGTAGTTATTTAAAATAAATTCAAAATATGTATTTATCTTAAAAAACTGTTAACCCTCTTTTTTACAAACTTAAAGTCTTCGTAATTTGAACGAAAATTGAAAACAAATATTTTTTAAAGTTGTTTATGCAACAATAGAACTTTTGTGCTTTTTTAACATTCGATGAGTTAAGAGTACGCATATAAATGAGATATATGTACAAATACATGTATTTAAAGTGTACTATTTAAATTACCATAATTATTTCAAATAAAAGCTTTATAAACAATACTTTTTTAAAACACTGTTATTTTAAATTGAACTTTCTAATTTCCTCTGTACTTTCTCAGTTCAAACTGAGTTTTATTCATTTTCCACTTAGGTCTAACTAATCCACTTACCGCATTTAACAATGACTGTAAATGATGTTTTTGTAACTTTTATGCCTAAATGACACATTTAGCACAATTCTGAATTTACACTTCCCAAAATAGGTGGAATACTCACAGTCTTTAATATACTTTCCATGTAGGAAAAGATCCCGTGTACCATATTTTTTTCATTTTTGCCATACCCTTTGTCAATTAATTTCAGGGTAACCGATACAGTGTTACAAATAAAAGAATTGTTATCTATATCATAATGATACTTACACGTAATATAGGACTAGCGATAGAAAGTACCAGCTTATGGGCCATTAAGCGATGACCATTGCAGCTTAATATAACGTCGCAGGATGATTCAGAAGTTAACAAACGAAGTGTTCCCTCGCGAATTACTGCCTCCATGTTTCTGTAAAAGAAAAAAATAATCTTTTATTTCCGATCAGCATGAATAAATGATGTTGTTCCAGCGTTTCATAAACTATTTTAATTGTACCTGCTTATATGCTACGCATGAATAACGGGCTGTCTCCGATTATAATTGTTGGATATACAATATACATATTTAATATTAATATCTGACAACTAATTATTGGTAAAGTGTAAAGATTTATTAACTCGCGGAATTTACGTCATATCTGAAATGCTGAACGGGATGTGCAAATAGCATCTCTAATAAGATGTATTCAGTTGATTAAAAAACACATATGTAAGCACCTTAAATCAACAAACTAGAAGTCTGTAGAATGTATCTCTCTGGTCTGGGCGCAGAACATGCAAAGAAAAAAAGTTAATTCGCCTGCTGTGGGATTCAAACCATGGTGCTCAACAACGATTTTAGATTTTTATTATTTCTTTGTCAAGAAACTGTTTAATACTCCAATGATGTATGGATGTGGACAATATGAAATATATTTAAAACAGATAACCAACGGAAAACAATGTACTCTTAATTTCTAGTACTTGTTTAACTTCGACTGTTTATGTTTATACTTAGAAAGAATTCAACCATTACCACGTATCGTATCGGCGCCGACATCAAAGTTACAGCATCGGCATCAAAGTATGCATAATTTTGAGGAGATGTCATCACATTGGTGGTAGGAATGAGGCAAATTTTGGTTAGCGTGTTACCATCTACACGATATCCCTAACATACATATAAAATTTGACACCAATCGGTGCGGGAGTTTCGGAGACTGTCTGTCTAATAAAAGTCTGGACAGACGGCAGACACACACAGAGACACAGACAGACAGACAGACAGACGGAAACGGGAGTAAGTAATATAAAAGTAGCCAATCGCCCGATCTACTCGATTATATTTCCTTAGCTTACGCTCCGGAAGCACTCGTAATATAAAAATTTCTTATGACGGAGAAATCTGTTCGTTCATTAAAATTAACTGTGTTTTCGTTTCATGTGTTAAGATTGATCGTAACGAGTTTATTAATGAATAATGAGAGTCAGTGTCAATGTCACTACGTTTGAAAAAACGATCCTTGTGCAAGAAATGAAGTAAAATGATGCACAAGCCGCAACCAATTCATTTCACTTTGTAAGTAGGTTATTATAGAGTGTGTAGGTAATAATAAGTACGAAAATATTGTAACAACACGTTTCCTACTTTTTTCTGTACAATGTTAAAAACAAGATTGCATTAAGCTGTTATGTACTTACCTTTTTTGTTTCTTAACTTTAGTCAAGAATTATTTGGATTAAGAATTGTATTAATGTCTATGCATAGTTCATAAATCGACCTAAATAGTTTTTATCTCAAAACATTGTAGAAGCATCATAACGGTAGAAAGCGGGTAAAAGAACGAAAATTTTCCATTCATACTTCACATTTACATTTCAGACAGACAAACAGTTAAAACACAAGAAGTTTGTTTGATACAAATGCGGAAATTTTTTAAGTCAGTTATTTAATGTAAGATTAAGATACAATTTTGTATTTTAAAACAGCAATTTGATTGTGCAAATTTTATTTGTTGTCATAACGCCCATGTGTATGTTATAACATAACAAAAACCGGAGTAAATTACACAGGCCCGCAAAATTTAAACCTTAAAAGCCAGTTTAAGCTTTAACAACTGTTTTGCATGTTTGTTGTATTCGTAATTAGTTAATTATGAATAAGAATAATGTTTATTTGGAAAAAAATACGAAAAACTAAAATTTAACAAATGCACAATATTAAAGGAAAATTAGACTTTTTTTTATATATGGATTTTTTATATATTAACAAAATATATTATTCAATTTCAGACCTACTATTGTATTTTTTGTCTTATGTTTTTTAACTGCGCATGATGGAATTTTTATCTATTTTTACGATACTTATTAACATCCGAAAATCTATCAGATTCATCTATTATTTTAAGACAGGTTTTTCTTCGCAGGCTTGTGTTATTATTATTATTAACTAGAGATGAACTATATCACCAGTTTTCATACGGACACGTAGGTACACGTAGAGTGTAATACTTACTAGTGCCAATGATACTGCGTTCCTAAAATTTGGAAAAGTTAAATAAATCGTGTTTGATTTAACTAATAAGATATTTGAAGACGCCATATAAGTAATTTGATACAAAGTTTTATTTATTGTGTATATTAGTTTGTTCTCGTGTTGTAAATTTCCGTAGGTAATAACTGCAAGTAGGTATTAGTTAGCAACGTTCGACGCATAATAGGTACATCTGGTAACGATAGATGATAGCTCGTGCGGTGTTTTTGCCACTGGTTGAGTTTGCTTATTATCTGGATATTATATTGTCAATGATCTTCACCTTTTGAACCTGTGTTATTTCTCTTCACCGATTGTTTAACAACGGTGGGTTCAAACAAGAAAACAAAAAAAGATGAGCTTATTAATTCAGTTTGCTTTTCTTAATTCAAGTCTTTTAATGTTTCTTTATCAGTCAGTGGTTTGAAAACCGTATCTAAACTGTGGTTGAAGCTTAAAAATAATATTCACTCAAGGATCAGGTAAATGATAAATTGAAAGTATATGTGGAATTGAATTCGGAACATCGAGATAACGATGGTGGGATAGTTCGAAAGCCACCAATAGCACTTCCATTTATTGACAGCTCAGTACGTCAAAAAACACTTTTATAATGCAGGTCAGCCAAGATCGACCATCGCGATGATTCGGTTACTTCCTAATTATTTATTCTGGAAAATTTAAATCATCAACGAAAGTAGTCAAATCTTTAATAGCAAGATGTTATTAAATTATGATTAGTGAAGTAATTTATTTTTTGTTAATGATACTAAAAAGAAAGTGTTCGGATTTCCAGTTCTTATTAAGTGACGATGCAGAATCACATTATCTTGCTAATTTAGTGGAGAGGGAACTTTATTACTGCAAACCCTAGACACGGTGATAATTTGTCCACAGTTTAATATTGTAATCTTGCAAACTGTAATCTTTTCTCAGAAATATCACTCGGTTGTGTTAAAAAAATATTAAAATTTTAATATATTTTTGTATGTATTGCATTTGTACTGGAAAAAATGAAATTTAGCTAATTTAGTAAATTTTAAAAGTTGTTATTATTTCGACGTAGTAAACTTCAATGCTGATAAATGGAAGATTTTTCTGAGATTTATTTTAGATAGACGCTTTTTGTTTAACTTACTTTAACAACTTAATATTATTAGTAAATATACAATGTAGACGTCGTTTCGTTATTTGATTCTATATAACTAAATGCCAAGTTTTGTTCTTAAAGGACTTAAATCTAAAAACTGGTAACAGATATTTTGCCGCTTAAGACTGTCAATCTATTTCTCAAAAAAAAAATTTCAAAATTTTAATTCTATGCATTTTCACATTTTGCGGTCTATTGACACATGTTATACAGGAAGCAGTTTGTAAGGCGAGGAAGCCCAAACTTAAATAATGATTATTCAAATTAAGCTAAAAATAAAAAGGAAAATTTTGATTTTGGTATATTCTGCCGTTCCTTGTAGGTAGATGGAATATGTGCCTTACGTGTAAACAGTCTTACCGTGTACCTAGCCTTATTCGGATATGTAAGTGTATTTAAATGTTACATAATTCTGTTCTGTTAATTAATACTAGCAAGATATTTTGTCATTTATGATATCATAATTTGCGACCTCCTTGACCTGCCGATGTGATACTCGAAGCCTGAAACAACTATTAGTACAAGCTTAAATGTTCCGCATGACTTATCAGTCGTGTTTACGAGCAATTCAGCTTGTTTAAAATCAATTTTAAAGAACCTAGTAGGAGGCATGTCCTATTCTTACGGAGTACTTTAAAGCTCTTTTCGTTCCCATTAAGATTTATTAAGTGATTGCCCCATTAGCCAGGTTATTTGATTACGATAACTAATTTAAAGTAAATGATACGATTTTCTATAAACGGATATAGTTAAAGTTGTTCAACGTGAAAGCGTTGATCACCAGTAGAATTATTATCGGATCAGTATTAATAAATAAGAAATATTACTGGTCTACACATATTTTTGTAGTTTTTTACAATTAACATTTTCTTCTACCCACTGCTCAAATAACATTGTTATCATAATAACGTGCATGTAATGATAATTACTCGTGTCTTAACATTAGTCACCGCTTCTAATATAAGTATCTGTAGCTTGGTTCAACTGAACTTGATTTTTTGATTATTTTTTTTTTAACATATTCAATTCAAATGTATTTTGTTTAGATTCGTTTAGTTTCAAACGTTTGGTATATGAAATTTTGTTCAGCAACATTTGTAACTTTTAAGATAAATTGTAGATAAAATTATCCAGAGTTTTATCTAGAAATAGCAATATTAGTTTTTCCACAAATTCTGTAACGTGTAACATTTGATGTTTTCGACACTAACATAAAAAAATGGAAGTAAAGGTTGGATAATGTAGGAAAGACGTATTGTTTATATTTTTGTTAGATAACTTTGTAACTAAGTAATAGCAATAATACCAAGTTATTTAGAATTTTAAAATTGACATAGGTAGCAAGAAAATTACAAGTACCTATGTGAACCATATAGTCCGTACTTCCGTCGCATAAGCATTTTTGTGTTTTGGATTTACCAAGTCTCCTTGGTATGTACTATGTGTACTGCCACTGAAAGTCGCGTTACAACGTTTCTTCAATAAAATATTTTTGCTTGTTACCACCTTCTATAAAATTTTATTTCACATCTTGCAATTATGAACTCTGTATCTAGTTTGGTGTTTATGAGCGCAATAAACATTTTATTGACGAATAACGATACATAATCTTATAGCCGACACACAATGACTTAGCAGTTAACCTTTGTAAATGTCCACAATGTAACTATGGATTTTGAATTGTAAAGGTGGATTTTAGTAATTTATTTTAGTAACTATTCTATCACTTGTTATTCTTACGTATCAAATCACGTTGAGCTTAGCTTTGATAAGATTGTTTTCAAGAACGCAAAAGAAAAGATTACGTACAAGCTCACTCACTGCTCAATCTTAAGTTACATTAACCCAAACTGTTGATGAATAATTCTTGTCCGTGGAGTTTTAAAATTCAAATGTCAACTCTGATGGCAATTACGAGGCTGGCAACCTAAGATAGGTGAAATTAATGGTATTCTGTTCCCTCGGTTGTTTTTTCATTGTGAGGCGACTTTATGTATATTATAAAAAATGATATGTTTGTTTCTTAATGTTTAAATCAAGTGAACAATAAGTGACTTAACTACCATAAAAATCGCTTACTTTGTCACAGCTAATGACTAAAAAGCATTGCCAGGAAATGTTCCTGCTTGTTTCAGAGAAATAACCAGATCATCAATAATAAAAAGAGAAGTTTTGCACAAGAAACCACTGGCAGATGTTACATCTAATAATTCAGTTTTAATTCTGAAAGTCGCAGACAAAATGCAGTGGCAAACTGGATTCACAACTGCAATACCGTACATAATTTGCCAAAATTTTAAAGCTTTAGCTTTGTTATTTTAGCCACAATGAATTATGGCAAAGCCCACGTCTCTGAAATATTATAGCTTATTATATTATAAATATATATTAATCTCCTGAAAATTCCTACACAATTGACATTTATTTGTTACTAAGTTTTGTTTGCGATTTACATCAATATGAATGTCAACTGCCAAAAAATAAGTGGTCTGTGTAAATTTTTCAGTATTTTTTTCGACTAGTGATATCAGTTACAATATTCCGAAATTTTTCCGATAATTTACAATTTACTTCGTTTAATATAACTAGGTATATAGGTTAATATAATTGAAGAAAATGAAATTTGTGTGATTACCGTATGCATTTTTTGTTTCCAAATACGTAAAAATAATGTAACAAAACTGTTATAATTAGAGAGCGGATTTTATGAAATTTGCATATCCGTTATTTTTTGCATATAAGTCTTGATATTTAACATGTGAACGAATCATGCTAATTAAAAATGAATACAGCTATAAAAAAATTGCATATTTGCATATATTTGTCTTCTGCTACATATTTCACGTAACGGGTGCATATTTTGCATTTTTATCAATTTTTGTGCTAAATTGAAAAAAAAAAAAATGTTTGTCATTCTATCGGCATTTATCTAGAAAGACGAAATTTTATGAATCATGCAAATATTGTCCTGAGCTTCAAATGACTAGGAAAGGTTTGAGTTTTATGGTTGTTTGGAGACACCACTGGGTGTTAAGCCATGCTTCCAGGTAAATTCGTGCCCTAATTACTTGTCGAAATACCGTTCGTTCCCAATATTTTTGTTCATTAGTTAAGTGTATTAATGGTATGTTTAGTGGTGGTGGAAGGAACGTTATACTATTATTTTTCATCGTGAGTTTGTATTGAAAGCATTTAAAGGGATACAGGTGTATCAATATGTCGAAGATAACTCAAATTAATTTATGGATTAAACCTTTTCTTGAACTTATTCTTCAAGAACGAACTGTGTGTGCGCCTGCTCTAAACCGGTAAGTATTTTTACATCTGTGGACGTAGTACGCAGTTTTCCTATTTACAAATACATATACTTTAGAATCATCGAAAAATTTTTTTGTTAGAATATTTCGAAAAATATTTAAAAATAAATTGTTACCAAATTAGTAACTAAATAGTGGATTACTACTATTTTTTAATTTGCTCAGTTTATATTTATTTTTTAGGATAAGAATATTATCTTTAAAAACGTGATTTATGTGTTAGTGAGATGCAATTAAACACTTTGCAATCTGATTTATGTATTTTTTTGTAATAAAACGTAAGTTCGGGAAACCTGTTTTTGTAATTTATAAATAAATTTAGTTCGCTTGTTAAGCTTTTTTTTAATTTTTGGAGCATATGCAACTGCATATCTCTGCATATATTATGAAAGTTACTGCATATTTGCATAAATTTGGTGCATATCATATGATCATATTTCTCAAAATTTTGCTGCATATTTTCCGCTCTCTAGTTATAATCTACAGAATGTCCTGCTCTTACTAACTAATTAAATTATTTAAAAACTACTTAAAAAATGAAAAATATAAGTGGTGTTCACTTCCGGTGAATATAATTTGCCTTGTAAATTCTTCATTGCACAATTTCTAATCAATTCTAAGTAATTTAATCAATCGATTAAAACACAAAACACCCTCAATTTAGGTACTTGAACTATTTATGTATTATCCCCCAAAGTTTTTAATATATAGGCTAAAACTAATAATTTCTTTTTAGCGACTTTTCACGTAGTTCGTTTAATAAAACGCGTCCGCAAATTAAAGTTTTTCAGCATTCAGTGCACGCATGAATGCCAGCACACACAAATAAAAAACTCAAATATATAATTATCACTATCTAGGATTGTAGGACTGCAAAGCAACTTGTATAATGTCAGTCTGGATAACAAGATTAATGAAAATATGACGCGTATATCTAAGAGATAATTAAATTAGGCTCACGTGCCAATTGGCATCTACAGTTATATTCTTTTCTACAAAAAAGCAGTAACCTGAATAAAAACTAATATGCAGCGGTTTGGAAGCCAGTTTCGTGAATCAACATTAAGTAATTACTGTTTTGACGACAGTTATAATACAGAAAATTTGATATTTAATTTAATTTAAAAATTAATAAATATACATATTATGTATTTTTTTACTTCAGTTATTCAACACTTTTTTGTAACATTTTTGCCATTTTACTTTGTTTAAATTCAAAAATTGTTTGATGATTTTCAGAATTTTGTTTCAAACCGATTTTTTTTTCATTTTCTGAATTTTAATAAAATTTGACATGAAATGCTGTTTAATTAAATGGAATTAACGAGAATGATAAAATTCTTGTATAGGTACTTCAATATTTTTATATTAATGTCATTAACAACCTTTTTTATCGTTTTTAATATTGTTGTATCATGTAGCTGTATACACTTGTGTCGGTATTATTTACTTTGGTACATCAGCAAAATGTTATTTGAAAGTTCTCCTATTTTTCAGTATTAGAGGTGTCGAAATTGTATTTTTTTTCGTCAGTTAAATAAAATGATTGGGAAGGCTTTGTTAAGAGATTTTACTTCCCGACTGTAAGTTAAGGAAATATTGTAACAGGATCCATCCGGCGAATGGCTACTTTCATGTTTTCTCGACGTTTCATGGTCCGTAGAAGATGAAAAAAATAGATCTCCCTTTTACGTCTGTCGACTATGTCGATATTTATTATTATTTATAACGTCAGAATCGATTGTTGTCAAATTTTTTATACTACATTATATGTTAGAAATATCGCGTAGACATTTTATAAAATAACGTGTTTCTGTACTTTGTACTTTATGAATCCGCCGTGAGTTTTTTCCCTAGGCATCCAGATTTTTGCAAAAAAATCAAGGTTGTATAATAATCTTTTATATTAATATAAACGGAACCAGTGTTGGGCAGTATCTAGATACTTGTATCTAAAAAAAGTATCTAGATACATTTTTGGGTATCTCGTATCTGTATCTAGATACAAAATTAATGGCGCAGATACAGATACATTTCTTTATTTCACTTTTTTTTCAGTAGTTATTAGTTGAGTTATACTAGTAGTAATTTTTGATACTTCATGTTGGTGATTTTGGTCACACAAACAAAAATAGAGGTAAGAGGTCCACTAATAGTGTTCTGTCACGGAAATTTTCATTTTAAATTAAATACCATCATTTCCTACATTGTAGCCTTCAGTACTTATTAGGGATGTACCGACTAGTGGCCGACCGGTCGGATAAGCCGACTATTCGGCCGATTTTCATCGTCGGCTGCAGTCGGCGACTGGTCGGCTAAACAGCCGATCGGTCGGCTTTTTTTATTAAAATTAAAATAGTATATAAAACAATTAAACCCGGTTTACAGAACCTCAATTAAATATTTAATTGCGATTTAATTTTTAACCCCGCGTTAAAGTACCATGTGACCGACTCTACGCCAATCAGACGTCGCTAATGGCCTTGTTAAATGCGCGATCAACTTAATCTTAGTTAAAATATTGTTTAAACTGGCCCTAAATTGTGTTATTCTTTATTTTTGTACTGAGTTACTAAAAAAATTAAATGTTAGAATTATCCAAACAAATTGAACACATTTTTTGGAAAACAAAGGAACTTTAGTTATTCCTTTTATTAAAATAAACAATTTTTTAAGGTAGTCAGAGAAACAAAAAAAAACACACTACCGAAACATCTGAAGAGCGAGATGCACGAGTTGAAAACTTGCGAGTGCGAGCTTCTACGTCAAGAGCTGCCGAAACATCACAACAGCATGACGTACGTGTTTAAGATCTTCGAGCAAGAGCGTCTGCGTCAAGAGCTTCTGCAACACCAGAAGAGCGAGACACACGACGTGAAGCAGAACGCTCACGGCAGACTCGATCAAGAACAAGAATCGATCTCAAGAAAGCAGCGTTCAATTACGATATGATTACAAAATGCATCGCGATGTTGTCATTGGTCCGATGACTAAATTGTGTCTACACTGTCGCGCTTTGAAGTTTCAAAAAGAAGCGCCTGGCATGTGTTGCTCCAACGGCAAAATCAGTTTGCCACCACTGACTGAACCACCAGAACCACTGCTCACTTACGTTGCTGGAGTTACTCGGGAGTCCAAACACTTTCTACAGCATATTCGGAAATACAACTCATGCTTTCAGATGACATCGTTTGGAGCGACGAATATTGTGAGATATAATAATTTTATGCCCACATTTAAAGTGCAAGGACAAGTGTATCATCAGATTGGTACACTCCTTTCAGTATCCAAAGAAGATCCGCAATTTTTGCAAATTTATTTCATGGACAATGTGGAGAAGGAGATTGATCGACGATGCGCATTTAGTGTAGCAACATCGAAAGATTATTGCTGAATTACGAGCATTATTCCACGAGCACAACTGTTTGGTCCGAAATTTCAAATCCGCATTGGAGAATGTAAGAACGATGACTTCAAACTCATTACTAGAGCAGACAAAACCCCATCGAATGAGCATGAAAGACGCTTCAATGCTCCAATAGCCCCTGAAGTAGCAGCTGTAATTGTCGGTACAGAAATTACTCGGCGAAATATTGTTATCAGCAGGCGAAATCAAACCAAGCAACGTATTGCTGAAACACATCGATCTTACGACGCACTTCAATATCCAATTCTATTTCCGCGAGGAGAAGACGGTTATCATCTCGAATTGTATCAAACTCATCCCGTCACAGGTGCTGCGACAACCAAAAAAGTCAGTTGTATGGATTTTTATGGATATCGCATCATGATTCGAGTCGAACAATCCAACCATATCTTAAAGTGTCGTCATGTTTTTCAACAATTCATCGTTGATATGTACGCCAAAGTCGAAAGCGAACGACTCAATTACATTCGTTACAATCAATCGAAGCTTCGAGTCGAAGATTATATTCATTTGCGAGATGCAATCGCGAATGATGGAACAATTGGTAACATTGGACAAACGATTATACTTCCAGCTTCGTATACTGGAAGTCCAAGACATATGCAAGAATATGCTCAGGATTCTCTGACATATGTTCGCAGATATGGACGTCCAGATCTTTTCATTACATTCACATGCAATCCATCTTGGTGTGAAATCAAATATTTACTTTTGCCTGGCCAACAACCATCTGATCGGCATGACCTCACAGCGAGAGTTTTCAAACAAAAATTGATACGTTTTATGGATCTCATCACTAAGAACCATATATATGGAGAAACTCGCTGTTGGATGTATTCCATCGAATGGCAGAAAAGAGGTCTACCACATGCTCATATCTTAATTTGGTTGATTGAAAAAATTGTTCCAACTCAAATTGACGATATCATTACTGCTGAGCTGCCCAACGCAGAAGAAGATCCAGAATTATTTGAAATTGTGAAAAAAAAATATGATTCACGGACCATGTGGGGGACACAACCCACACTCGCCATTCATGAAAGACGGAAAATGCGCCAAAAAGTATCCACGCCAGCTGCTGCAAGAAACACAAACTGGTGGCGACGGTTATCCGTTGTACAGACGACAAAAACCAGATGATGGAGGATACACCACAACTATCAAAATCAATAACGTTGATTTCGAAGTTGATAATCGATGGATTATGCCCTACTCTCCTATCCTTTCGAAATCATTCAATGCACATATCAACGTGGAGTCCTGTAATTCAGTTAAGTCAATAAAATACATATGTAAATATGTGAATAAAGGCAGCGATATGGCAATTTTCGGAATTGCGAATCCCAATGCGCCCGTCAATGAAATCGAGCAATTTCAAATGGGACGTTATATTAGCAGTAATGAAGCTGTATGGAGAATTCTTGGTTTCGACATTCATGAACGCTTTCCTGCTGTCATGCATCTCAGTGTTCACTTGGAAAACGGTCAACGAGTCTACTTCACGGTAGACAACGCACCCCAACGAGTTGCAGATCCACCAAATACAACGTTGACCGCTTTTTTCCAATTGTGTGCAACTGACGAATTCGCAAAAATATTAATGTATCACGAAGTCCCGCAGTACTACACTTGGAATCAATCGACGAAGAAATTTTGCAGAAGAAAACGAGGCGCCAGGCATTCTTCTATAGCTGGCATATTTTCTACTGGTGCACTGGGAAGAGTATATACTGTTCATCTAAATAATGGTGAATGCTACTATTTGCGAATGCTGCTTCACGTGGTCAAAGGACCAACATCGTTTCAAGCAATCAAAACAATCGATGGTCAAGAGTGTGAGACATACAGAGAAGCATGTTTTAAACTTGGTTTGCTTGAAAATGATCAACATTGGGACAACACATTAGCGGAAGCATCTGAGACATGTCATGCCCATCAAATACGAACTCTGTTTGCCATAATTTTGACAACCTGCGCACCTTCTGATCCGAAAGGTTTATGGGAAAAACACAAAGAGAGTATGAGTGAAGACATACTTCTCCGAGCACGCAGAAATAATCCCGGCTTGGATGTACAGTATTCGGAAGACATTTTCAATGAAGCAGTGATATCTAGACAGCGGATTTCTGTCGGGCTACGTCACGATTATAGGTGGGGACGCGCTGCATCGCCGGGACTCAGTAGCGGGTGATAGTAATCACTGAATTTAATTGTCACTTGATTCCATAAATACAATTAACGATTTATTAATCAAACGGCTAAGTAAATGAGAACTGGAATTAACAGCAGAGTGCCACGAAGCAGCGTTATTCTAATCTCAAATAAACGAAGTGCAGTCGGTAATTGCAATGAATTCCCATCCCGTACGAGCCGTACCGAGTTTGGCCTTGTCTAGCCCGACAGAAATCCGCTCTCTAGTGATATCACTTGAGGATGTGTGTATGTCGATTAACAACAAAATCCTCAATCAGCTTGGGCTGTTTTCACCGGAACGTGACAGAAACGATGTTATCGATAGAGACGTATTGCAAGAAAAACAATACGACGTCGATGCGCTACAAGTTTATGTTGAAACTCAGAAAAGGCTCTTAACAAACGATCAACGACTTGCATACGACCTTAGATCATATAATACATAGATACCAATACTCAAACTGAAAGCTGTGACTAGACATGAAGCTATCTGTTGTCGTTTTCTACGTCAAGGGGAGTAGTATAATGCTATCCTTGTGTGATCACCACATCTTCATCTTTGTTATATGCATTTCATCTGTATATGTCTATTTCACTTCCATCCTTGTACCGCACCAGCGCAACAAATCGCTTTTGACAGATGTTTCTTCTAACCTCTCTTTCGAGTTGTTGTACAAAAAACAATCTTAGAATTTAGAACAAAGATCCTATTTTAAGTGATGTAGTCATAAAGGATCACAATTGCTGCCCAATAATTTACTATTCCTTTCGTTATCTACTGTGAATTATTTATAAAATCAAGCTGTCAACATCTTTCTTCCGAAGTTAGTTCAGACATACTTCCTAAAATTTAGGCGCGCAAAATTCAAATAGTGATCAGGCAAGGATAGCTTCATTGTAATCCCTCCATGCACGAGAGAGATGTGTGACAGGAGGATGTCGTCACAGGCTGTCCTAGGGAAAGAACACGGCATGGTGGTATCTATTTATTATATGATCTAAGCATACGACACAATTATGCGCTCCAGACCATACATTTATATCCACATATGTATATACAAAGTAAATATATACACAAGCAGGACAACGTCTGCCGGGTTGCGCTAGTCTCTAATAAAATTAGTGAGATATCGAGCACTACGCGCTTTGTGACTCATCCAGTATATTTAATAGCAGCAATTGATCAGATGATAAATATGATCTACGAATGATTGTATTATCTTGCTCATACCTAGTAAAAACGGTTTGTTTCTGAACTAATATAAAACAACTTCTGTCATCTTCTCTATGCAAAAAAAGGTTATTTCCATCAGAACAACCACCAATGTGGACGAAAATAATAATCAAAGCAAACCTATAAAATTTAATTCATACAGTAGTCACAAAAATTATGTTTTATTTGAGTAAACAGATGTGACGTTTCAATTCGTTCAAGAAAATTAAATAAGTATGAATGTGTTTGATAAATGAACAAAGTTTTGTTGTATTATTTTATGTACGACCATTACATTTTTTATCAATTACTGGGTATGTTTCAGCGGTAGTTCATAAGTGTTATTAATTACTGGTTGTTCCGGCTAACACGATGGTAAGTGACTTATGTACCGTTGAAAACAACCAACGGTAAGGAATCGTGTATTCAAGATTATGTGGTTTCTACGTGGGTTAAACTAACAATAAATTTTGAAAACTAAAAACAGGCTTTCAACATCACAAATTAGATAAAAAAACGTGGGTCGTACACAAAACAGTGCAAACGCATCACGCACTTTAAGGGGTTTACTAGTTTAAGACAAACTGGAGTCGTCGCTTCGCTCCGTTTCCAAACTTTTGTCTTCGGCCAGTAAACGACCCTTACCGTGCTTAATACTTAATATACTATTTAGTTTTCTTAAGTTAAAATTTGAAATTAAGTCCTATATGTGTAATACAATATTCAGACAGTAGTTGACTGTTCTCAAAATATATGACAACATTTGGTTTATTATCTAAATGAGTCAGTGAAGCACATGCTTTGTCAAAAAATAATTAACTTACCAGATCAGCAATTTTAGCAATCGCTCTAAGTGAAACAGTTCTGATTAGAAAATATAACAAACTTGCTAGAATTCTTTTTTTGTCAATAAATTTTAGCTACTAAGTTTCATACCATTTAAGTACCGGTAATGTTTTGATCAGTATTATTTCACATGGAGTTAATATTGCTATCAAGATGATGTAGACAAAAATTAGATGACATGTGACCAACTTTCCGTTCTAAATAAAGACAATTAAACTCTCATCAGTAATAAAAAAGCTTCTGAAATTAAAATCAAGCTGAATAATGTTACTACGCTGACTTTTAGTTTTGTAAACTATAATTACATTTTTGTTTTTATAGAGTTGACTGGTGGAAACTGTATTATTAGTATTATCTACACATACTACAGTCTTCATATAAACAAAAAAAAAGTTCATTATTATGATGGGTACTTTTAAACAGATATTGGTTGTACTTATAATAATCTATATCTAATAATCAGTTCTTGCAAGTAAGGCTCAGGTGAGGTGCCAATGTTGAGAAGCCAATGATGACTAAGCTACTTGCTGAACTCGAACCAATGCGAACTATTGAGATATTATCGGTGAATAACGCTTGTCATTTTTTTGTAACTAACTAACTGATTACAATACAGAGTATGGCTTTCAGGTTTTAATTTAACAAAGCTTCTTCTGGAATAATGAATTTCAAAATTGACAGTAAAATCTACGATTGGAATTTATCTTAAACAGACCTGGCTTTTTATGCAAGAATTATTCATAAGACGATCAAGCTTACAGCACATTTTACGTCATTTTCAATCATGAGATAATCTGATATTTAAATCTTTAATTGAAATGCCGGTTTTAAAAGAACTACTTACGTTACCTGTAACAAGGTATGATAAATATTTCACTTTTAAATTTAAAGATAACTTGTGATTGAAACTAGAAAATAACTGTTCTTTTTTCTCTTATTACTAAAATACAAGCTGGTAACGCAAAAACTAATAGGAGTATACATAATTCAATTTTATGATGTACATTGATAAAGAAGAAAATCATTTTAAAATAATACATAAATTAAAAACTAATGCCGTCAATACTACTTTATAATTTAAATACTACGAAACATAATAATATTAATAACAATAATATACAAGAGGCGAGTTTCAGAATTGAAGAAATATTCCATGAGACGCGCAGAAAGAAACGAACTCTTTCATGTCATAGCAAGGGCAGACTTGAACCACACACCCTTAAATATATCCAATACCGAAGAAATCCCCACACCCCACAAACTAGACAACATAATAAGTGTGCGGAAACAAAAACAACTGCATGGAAAATTCGTCAAAGAGCTAGACGAAATTCAGATCAATAAGAAAATGTCATTGATTGAAAAAATTTGGATTAGAATACAAACTGAAAGTTTCGAATCGAAATAAATATTTTTCAGCATTAACTAAAAATTATAAGAAAATGGGAAATTGTGATGCAACCTACTATAATTTTATTTTACTGTTTTGTGATATGAGCAGCAGTTTTGAATTAATTTAAACAAACCATTTGAAATGAAACATCACGTATTGTTTAAACGTTACTTCAGTGTTGTGTTTGATTTTTCATCCTGATCTAACACTAATCACGTAATATATAAAATACCATCCTTAAAATAGTTATTCTTGTGTGATAAGTACAAAATTTCTACAGTTGCATATAGAGTAATGCATTTTGCAAATTTAGAACTTCCTTTGTCTTCTGAAATACGATTTTCTGTAAATATCGTCGTTAGCTGAAGTCGTTAGTGTCGTTGGATTCAATTAAGTGACAGCAATTGACCATGCCTTCGTAACAAGACTAGTCGAGAGCACGACAATGTTTCTCCACAGAAATCCGTTAAGGGTATCATTAATTTTCCAGGAAGAATTACCTTTTCTGTTTGCTTTTACTGTCATCATATTGTCTGTTGTCTAATATGTTTCCTCTAATTGATAAATTCAGAGGAGTCACGCATTCCGAACCTGTTTTCTCTTTTAGAGCTCTGAAAACTGCGATACATTGAAGCATCAGATCTTCTAACGTAATTGTCTACATACAGTTATTTTTACAAGTACATATATTTTTTTTTGTGTGTATAAATTGAAAGAGGAAGCATAGCACTGAATTAAAATTTTCTTAGTGGCTTGTTTCAACGAAAAGTGAATAAAATAATATATTCCCGAAGTTTCATCGGTTCATTACGTTAAAGTCAACTACTTTTCCCAGACTAATTTCCTTTTTACCGTGGAAAAACAATGTTTACGGAAGTGCAAATAGAAGAAGAAAAATATTTAATAATGTAGACAATGTTTTAAAATTTTCATTAACTTTTATTTTCTTCAGTTATTACTTTTATGACATCCCGTTAGCACGTGGTCAGCATTCTAGTAGTATTTTTAATATAGAACGCAACCAACTGACCATCGAGGTTTTATTTTTATAACTCTACTTTGTTACATCCCTCTCAGTCAGTGAGCACGAATGAAACAGTGAAGTTCTTAATAATGTGTGTATTTTAAATAAAGAAAGCAGTAAGGGACGTTGTTTTCCCAATTAGGGCGAGACCTAAGGTCAGCAATTTTTAGAAGGGATGTGTAAATAAGTTTTGATTAACGTTTTATCATCTTTAGGCTTTGATAAAAAGGTATTGAACTAATTTCACCATTAATTTTTACTTATCGAGTCTAAAGTAGGGATGGATTGTAACTGACGAATAATATTCCATAGCTTCTAGAGTATGAAAAAGCAGGTCCCGTTTCCATCTGTCTGTCGTCTCTTGTCTGACGATTTTATCATAGAAGAAGTCTTTGAAATCACCGAATTCTCTGCATAGATTGATGTGAAATTTTAGACATATTTGAAAAATGTCGCCTAGATGGTACAATTTTGATATTCAGTCCAAAAATATGATGATGTCATAAAGGTTCAAA